CAGGTGCGCGACATCTGCTGGAAATAGTCATAACGTTGACGTCATTCTATTGTAACGTCACTTTATGTGAACAAAGTATCGGTTATATTTAAATAAACTTTTCTCTGATGACTGATTCCTGATTTATATTTGTATGGACTTTTTAAGGTTTGACCGAAAAATCTAATGCGATTTTTGAAACTAGCTGCCGCTCTAAGAGGGTAAAGATGTATCATCGGTGTGTATCACAGGTGATTCCCTGAAGCGCAACCTGGCGAAACCGCAGGCGACACCTAGCGAATAGGGATTGCTTACGGGATACATTTCTGTTTCTGTTTCTGTTTCTGTATTCATACGTTGTAGTTCCCGGTTCCGGTTTTTATTCAACGGGAGAGAGAGAGAGAGCAGTTCAATGAGATTTTTGGTGCGTTACAGCACTCTTAAAAGCCTCCAAAGTAGGGGCACATACTAAATCCTCTTCCAGATGGTTTTACTCTATGACTGTACGTACAAAAAATGAGTTCTTGTATTGATCACAACTGTACTTTGGTACTGTATAGGATTTAGAGTTGTTTATCACTGATGTTCCTACAACAGTTTTTGTATATATAGTCCGAAAAATGATAAGCTGGAGGTATAGCTGGTATCAACCCCTCAACCACCTTATACATGAATGTGACCCTCTGTTGTGCTCGCCTGACCTGGAGTGTTGGTAGTTCGAGTTTCTCCAGCATCCTTGTGACACACCCATCTTCACTTTATAGTCACCTGTAATGAACTTGGCTGCCAAGCGCTGTATTCTTTCAAGTTTGTCAATTTCTCTTTTGGTATATGGGTCCCAAATAATGGCGCCGTATTCAAGAATGGATCGTACTAGAGATTTATATGCTGTTTTCTTACATGAGGATGAGCAATGTTTTCGATTTCTTTTGAGAAAGCAAAGGGTCGAGCTGGCTTTTCTTGATATTTTTAGTATGTGGGTGTTCCACTAGAGGTCGTCTGAAATAGTAAGTCCAAGGTAGGGATTATTTTTCACTTGTTCCAGGATATGTCCATTAAGGGTGTAGAATATGTGACTTTTTCTTTGGTGTTCATTACGTAGCATTTGTTGATGTTGAATTTCATTCCTCATTGATTGGCCGAATTTTTCCAGGTTGTTTAGGTCGTCCTGTAGTAGTTGATGGTCACTATATTGGTTAATTTGTCTGTATATCAAACAGTTGGCGGCGAACAGACGTACGCTAGAGGTAACACTTTCTGGTAAGTCATTTATATGGCATAGGAATAATAGTGGCCCGAGCACTGTCCCTTGTGGAACCCCGGAGTCAACGGTTACTTCTCTTCCTCTAGTGCTACTCTCATATGTCTTTGTGTCAGGAAAAGTTATTCAGTTTATGTAGTAATTTTTGGTGACGGACTGTGTTGAAAGCCTTAGAGAAATCAAGTATTGCTAGATCAACCTGTTTGTTATTATTAAATGATTTTAGGAGATCGTCCATAGTGACTGCTAGCTGAGTTTCGCAAGAAAATCCGGAACGAAATCCATGGTTTAAAGATGTTAGTATATTATATTTGTCAAGGTGGTTTAACATGTGTTTGCAGATAATGTGCTCCAAAAGTTTACAGGGTACTGATGTTAATGATACTGGCCTGTAGTTTACAGGGTACTGATGTTAATGATACTGGCCTGTAGTTTTCTGCTGCATCTCGGTCTCCTTTTTTGAATATACAGGAAAGTTTTGCTCTGAGCCAATCGGATGGAAGCGATCCAGAATTAAGTGAACATTGGAATATTGCAGATAATCCTGGAGAGATTTGTTGGGCACACTCTTTTAGGATTCTGTTTGGGATGTCATCTGGTCCTGATGCTTTGGCTGGGTTGACTTTTCGAAGTAATTTTGTTACCCCCTCTATACCAATGGTTATGTCTCCAATTTTTGAGATGGGCGAGTGGCTGTTCGACTTGCTGTTCACACCTCTGATGTGTTTGTTAAGGGCGAGTATCTGATCTTGGAGCTTGTCATCCTGAACTTTGAATGAGGATGGGTCACTATGTCCTTTGTAGGAGTTCCATTTCACTATGGAATAATTTGGTATCTCTAATATCGTGATAGATTGAGATTCTCATGCTTTTCTGATAGGGTTATAATCTCTATGATGATGTTGATGATTTTTTTCACCGTTTCGTCCGAATCTGTTGTCAGCTAGCCATAATCTTTATTGACTGATGTCAGATTGCACGTTCCCAGCCACACGTAAAGGGAGACATTTCCGTGTCGGGTGAACTTAGCGGGCAGGTTTTCGATGAGCTATCGGTGGCCTTGTTCTTTTCTACCTCCCTTAGCACACCAGTTGATTTGTAATTCCTGTTCGTTCGAGCAATGGATCGCGAGATAGTTACCTTTACGGTCCGAAAGTATGACAGGCTTAAATTTCCTATGGCTTCTTGGTGAGGATGTGGCCCTATTTAGGTACTTTCTTAACTTGTTTTCTGACATGGTAAAATGCCAAGATGGCGACTATGCCTACATGATGAAAGGTGATATGTTGGGGTGGTTTACCAGCGCGCACCGTTGTCGTATCACATATTTGTGTTCGTTTTTACCAAATCGAAAAATATTACCCTTCCGTTACATTTTGGAATGTAATTCCGCTTTGTGGTTAGTAAAATTGAAGATTTTCTTTCCGAGTCGTCGCTCCCAGGTGAAAACACGTCTTAATCCTCGCATTGGATTATGGACTATGTTACACAATTAGGAAAGTCTTTCTATGCAACATGGACGATACAAATAGAAAAGAAGCTTTGGGGTTTCTGCTCACAGAAATTATCACCGCTCTTAATCTCCGCCAAAAATTGTTCGTCACTCAAACAGGGTTCTCATCCCACATGACTCACTGTGCAACCTCAATAGCATTGAAGGTAATCTATGAATCAAGTTCACTCTCTTCTGACGCGAGTACAGAAACCGATGAAAGACAATCACCAGGAAAAGAAGCAAAAAAACCAACAACAAAAAGAGTTAGTATTTCCTTCCCCAGCAGCTTGTGATTCATCCAGAGGCAGTGATGAATGGAAGTCAAGTAAATTGTGCACATCAGACATTTTCGTCTATTCCATGACTCCACAATTGGACGGACCTATACAAATATACAAACACGCCTAGTAGTCTCAGTGAATAAGGGTGCCATTGATAAATTGTGCTCTTGTTAAAGAATTATTGTCCCGCTTGCCATATCAAACAGGTTTCAATTATGGACTACACATAAATGCATTGGAATCAAGTCTATGTTCAGTTAACCATTTACCAGCAGAAGACAAAGTAAATGTTTGTTTTTACAACAGTTACTTATTCAAACAAATGGATCAACCTTTCTGTGTGAATTCATTCCGTGATATATTTGACAATGGGAAAATACTTTGGAAACTTTTGGCTAACTTTTGACTTTGATCGTGTTCTAATAAATATCTAAACTTGTTATTGAAGTGTCCTGATGAAAATATTAAGAAACATGTGCTTTTCATTTTTCTTAACAACATATTTGGTGGACAACTTTAAGTTCTGAAAAGTTCACAATGATCTGATATCTAGAATGATATGTGTACTTTTGTTTTTGGAGGTAAGGTCTACTTTACAGTTATCTACCAAATAAAATTTGTAGTTTTGAAAGTAGATTTTGACCCCTATGTGCTACCTGACCTGTAGACCTGATTGTGCTCAAGGCGTTACTTTATTTAGCAATTTGTATCAGTTTGAAAATCTCACAACCGAACTATGATGTGTAATAATTTGAAGTGTTTCATATTATAAGTAGTACATAAAATCTAAGACACATTTTAATCTTTTACTTAGTCATGGTTATTTTGTGTGTGACAATTCCGTCGTTGCGTATTGCAGAGTTATCTTCTCTTGTTAGAAGGTATTGATTGTTACGTCATTGGTTTGTGAGAGTAACGTCATCTATTTTTGAGAAAACGATGTAATTTTCTCACATAAACCAATGACGTCACAATCAATACCTGCTCACAAGAGAAGATAACTCTGCAATACGCAAAGACGGAATAACATTAGGTTTAATCATAGGGATAATAGCAGTATATTCCATGTCATTTTTACCACCCTTACAATATCTGTATTGTTACTCTTTGCTTTGTCTTTAGGTATATGAATAATGGTCGTTGACGTTAATGACAATATAACATTGTATGTGTACTCGTATATACTTAGATATACTTCTTATTTGTGTTTTCCTGTAGTTGGCTTTCAAAGAAGTTTCATTTAATAGTGTTATAGTGAGAGTAACTTAACTTAAGATATAAATACACATGTACTATGTTTACTGATACTAATTACAAATGAAGGTAATTTGATGCCACAAAAGTTTTAATTATTAAAGTACTGTTACTTTATCCCAGGACATCATGATCCAGTCAGTGTGTCTTTGTAGTGTGCATAAGCAATATTTTAACAGTGTTCATCAAAAATCAGAATTGATTTTCACAAGTCACCAGGATCACCCCGAGATAGCACTACCGAATGTATCACCGGTGATACATGGTATTTTCTATAAGAAACTAGTCACCCGAGGTCACCAGGTTCTCCTGGTGTGAGAATGAGGTTACCATTCTCACACCAGGAGAACCTGGTGACCTCAGATATGTCAATGAGGTAAATAATTAACATGAAGTAACTTCACTTTCAATCTAATTACAATCAAACCTTCAAAGCTCTTTACCGAGATAATTTCTATGGTGATAGAATGCGATAGAGATGTTGGACTTCAGTCACAATAGGTTGCTTCCTTTCTAGAGAACACAAAACTTGTAATTTAAGATAATGAGAGCTCAAAGTATATCCATGATGTGATATTGGTACTTTTCGTAATAAAATTTTGTAGAACCATTTCTGTTCAAATTATAAAACGAACATATTGCGAACAGAAAAAGTTAACGAACGGACGCCAGTGTACCATGTAACACGACCCATCGTACGACGGGCGTATAAAAAAGACAAATGACTCCATTTCAGAAGTGTAGCTAACGTTAAACTTTATTTCCAGAGAAAGAATAGAACCGTGTTATATATATATCCCTCTTGTAGATGGCTTTAGCCATGATCAGCAGTGGCTACAACATTGATGATACTCAATTACTACATCGCATAATAGTTGTTAATATATTCTCATATATAGCCTCACAATAAATACCAGCTTGCACAAAAAAATATAAAAAGATTCCTGAATGATATAAACAATTTTGTTTCACATACTGTGTATAGTTGTTAATATTTGCGGGAGATTTAATTTCACTATATCGGTGTTCATCAAAGTTAACGTAAAATTAAATACCCAGGTAATATTAACATCTTCACTTCCTCTGTGATGTTAGATCTTTATGAGCATTTTTTTTTCTCGTTATAAATCATCTAAATCAGTTTTATCGCTTAAAACGCCAGTTACCATATTGTATAAAATGGGACTGGGCACTGACTACCACCTTTCAGGAACACATCAATGAATACTTCAAAGTTGGCCTTCACATACATTTCTTTTAATGAAATACGTCCCATTTGTGATTGTCAATACAAAAGTATTACTTAAAGCTTTAAGGGGACTGGAAATTACAGTTTGACAGCCGACAGCAAGGCTAATGGTGTGGGCATTGTTTTTAATTTTCTTGTCATTGTTATGAATTAAAAATGTATAATTAATAAATTAGGAGAGAATATTACATGGGCAATATCATTACATTTTTATATGTTTTAAAATACCATCTCGTGGGGTCACAAGCTGGGCAAGAGCCTTGGGAAACTCTTATCGTGGACACAGGGAAAACTTATTTTCAAAAAGTAAAAGAGTACCGTACATTGTATGTCTCGATGTGTGCAATCAAGGGATGGTAAATAACACATATATTTCCTTTAAACGAATTGATTTGTTATATTTAGCACAACAGATAAAGGTTGTTCAGAATAAAAAATGTCAAGGCTTCATGATGGTATTGAGCTAACTGCAATGTTTTTTCATATGGGCTCTTATCTCATGACTTTAATTTAGTTGTTGGTATTTATTGAAATAATAACCACATCGCCTTCTAAGTGTCAATAGTGAAAAATTGCCAATAATCCTAGCTAACCTACATTTTTACACAAGGTATTTATATGCCACAAACACACACAACCTGTTACAAACTGTAAATCATGTCAAAAAGGCAATACTGTTAAACACAAATATAAAGGTAGATTTCTACATACTACATGGAAAATTTCCATTAAAACTTGAGTGCCCAAATAAAGTTCATAAATACCCGGGTATGTAACATCTCCACAAAGTCAGACAATTGTATCCACATATTGATTGATACCCTCTTTTTTCTGTAACATTACATTGAGGAACGATGTCACTGGACATTTTCTTTTCTAGAAAAAATGAGATCACTATGTAACTGTATGTAATACCATAAATCAGGATGTTTGGCATCACACAAATTTGGAGATTTTTGCCATGGGGGTGTTTAAGTCAGGACATTTTTTTAAATTCTGATCATATAAATAAATTATCACTACCTGTGATAAAGCATCATCTAAACAGCTATTTGCGGTATTGTCTTCATTGTGGATCGTTGTACTACTAGTTTACTACCGGTTATTATTCAAGAATTCAATTATCTAAAAGAGCCTAACGAAAGTTATAAAATTTTGACCTTATTTAATATTTTGCTGTCTGGTCTAAACTAAGGTATAAATCAAGGGGCCGCCAGATGAGTCAATTTTATGACCCCATTTGAACATCCACAAAAGGGGCAGAATGGGTAAACATGTTACCCGTCCCCCTGACTTCCTGCAGTATTAGAGTGCAATTTGGTGAAATGTTGCTATGATGTTTGACAGCTGATTTTACTGATTCGGCACACAGTGGCTTATTAAGTTGTTTTCAGCGGTAAAGAGTTGAGACACTGGTCATTTACACTCTTTGCAAAAATAAGCTTTCAATTCTTGTTTGTGTTAATACAAACTTAACCTATAGTATGCATACCAAAGTGATGAATCTTATTGTGAATAAAGTATAACCCCTACAAATCATCCTGGTGTATGGCACTGTCATGTCACTGTCATGTGTAGTATAACCCCTACACATTATCCTGGTGTATGTCACTGTCATGTCACTGCCATGTGTAGTATAACCCCTACACACCATCCTGGTGTATGGCACTGTCATGTCTATCAAGCTTCTAGAAGGTCATGAAATGTTAAGATGGAATGTGATAAAGGACTACTCTTCTCAAAAATATTAAACAAGCAACAACTTCCGATTTCTGACGGATATGGTCATCTTAGTATGAACACACTCGCACTGGGTTGTAAACACAGGTATACGATACCTCACTTATATATTATACTAATATTCTAAAAGGCAAAATGTTGTATACAATCTGTTACTTAGATATATACGTCAGATATAGAATGAGGAAACTACACCTTATGACAAAATGAACCAACTAAAATACAAATGTGTGAAGAAAGCAAGCGATCAGTATTTAGAAAATGATATAACTTACAAGATTTATTCGAAAGACATTGATCGTTAAGACACACATTAAATACCAAATAAAATCAAACAAAAAACAAAATTTCTCAACAAGTACAGTATATCCAGAATGAGAGGAAAAGAGGATCACGCAATATTAGATAAATGAGAGGGGGAAATATCACACAATATTAGATAAATGAGGAAATTTATCATGAAATATTTGAGACATGTTTTTAATAGATACTAAAACTTATTATTTGATTATGGAAAGGTTAATTAAATAAAGTTTGATAATTTCATTATAGTTCCATTTCATGACGATGAGTTTTGAAGGAAAGGTACAAATACAACCTAACACTGTTCAGGTCGATGTATATTTGCAAAATGTTTGAACACAAAATCTGATTGGTCCTTTGATACACTTTCTATCATGAGATTCGCCCTGTCAAAATAATGATAATACCACTCTTCCAATCATTTGATCATATTAAAATTTGTCTCAACACAAAATTGACAATAAAATAATATCAACCTGACCGGTCGTCTATCCAATATCACATACACAATTGTATTGCAGGATTCATCATAAATATCAACAACGCAGTTCAAACATATGACGGTTGACAATGTGTTTACTCTTCAGTTAACAGAATAACCATCCACACAATAAGAATACTTGTGTGCTCAGTTATAGAATACTGATTTTCCATCGCAGAATGCGAAACAATTCTGAATTAATTCTGATCAATTGTTCCCTATCATTTTAAACATTACAGTTTTTTCTTCCTAAAAAGGATGAAAATGTAATAAGAATAAAAAAAGAGAAAATCATGACAAAACTTGTTTTTTTAATTTATTGAAATTTGCATAAAAACCTTCAACTATCTATTGATACATTGAAGATATCATTTTTTAGATAATTGCATGAGAGACCATATTTTGTCCTTAAATTTTAGTAATATTCTTTCCTTAATAAAAGTAGTCTGACCATTACAAAGATATGTTTAACACAATATTAACATAAATACAAACAAGAGCACTGGATATAAGTATATAGGAATGTTGTGATTGAAGGGTAGCTTGAACTTAATTAGAACATGAATGGAACAAATGATATCTACTCTAGGCTTAAAACAGACTGAAGCAAAACCGGTAATAAAATAAAAAACCTACAAAAACATCACCTGGATTTCTGTCTTCATATACAATAGTATGTCAAACATAAAACTGAAATGTACCTATAAATGCATGTCCTTGTGATGATTGTCACAAAAAATGAACATTTTCATATTTAAATATATATTTTAAAATACTAACATTGAAATGTATTGCAGGCCTTTACATAGAAAGGTATGGATAGATACAATATCATTATGATAACACAAATCTTTGAAAGCTTATAAAAAATGTTCCCTTTGGACATATTTACAATGTGTTTCCCTTTGATTTGTACACCAATTACATTAGAATTTTAATAATGCCTTCATTGGTCATTTTCATTTTCTATGGAGAATAATTTTGATTTCTAAACGGTGTAAAAAGTAAAATATACAAAATAATTCCGTACATATATTATTTCTATTCAATTTGAACAACAGCATGTATAACTCTTAAGTTAAATTTCGTTGCGGTTAAGGAAATATGTATATCCCAATTAATGAAAAAGAGAGTTAATTAAAATTCATAAATATTATTTTAAATGCATAATCAATACTAAATTGATAAATTGATAGCTATGTTCTAGCAATTTGTATAAGAGATTCCGTCATCATTCGCTTGAAGTAATACATACCTCCATACAAAACAAAGCACTATAAAATCATATTATGCAAAACAACCTTTTCAGCAGCCAAAACAAATCCATAGTTTAATATACCATACTGTTAAATAATAAATCATTAACTAACAAAAATAACTCAAATATAATCCCCACAATTTCAGGTTTTCCCATTACATGTTGTGCTGTCAGCTTCCATATAATGTGTATGTATTGAAACTCATATTTTTCAACATAATTAGTTCCTAAAAGACATATGTATGACAAACATTGATAGCCTTTGTATTTATACAGGTATAAATTGATCCCTCAGACTGCTCCATCACACTCATTGCTGGATTGGTACAAGCCCCTCAATCTCACACCTGCAGGTAGAAAACATACATACAGTACTGTATCAATTATCTAAACTATAAATTAATTGTTCATCATTCATTTTTTCAACAAATTGGCTGGAAAATCTCCATCAGGTACTACACATTTACAGTTATAAAATATATGACAACAGGCCAGATAAATACGTGATGTTTAGAGTCAACAAGCTAGATAATAAAATAATGCCTCATGACAACTGCTCCAACAACAGCCAAGATAAACAATTATTCAAGACAGCAAGTCAGATAAAGGTTTACAAATTTAACAGGTATTGTTAAGTGTTATTTAGTTTTCAGTGAAGGAAAAACATATGTTAAAACTAGACAAAATCCATTTTGTGGTCAAATTAATTCCTTATAATTTGTCAATCCATCGTTTCTAGGGTCTACAGGTTATTCATGGCTTGATATTTCGTTCAACATTCTTCAGACCTTAGCCACATTATATGTATCCAGTACATAATACAGAAAGTTGTTTATTTTTATATCACACAAAGCAGAAATGTCACATATCCTACCAATATAGGCTGAGAATCAAGTCAATTAGGGCACAGGACCAAGTCAATAGTGGAAATTCATGGGATAGCACTTATAACCAAAGGGAGGTAATCCCTACAGAAAGTTCTGTGGCAACTGAAAATTGCCTTGGTAACTTACAGGTCGATTTGTCTCCTATTCATTAGGCTGTTGGCTTGGACTTCATAAGGTTTATGTCAGACTTCACCATTTCGTCAACAAGGCTCTGTGAAATATACACAATAAGTCGATGCCATAGAACTTAACAACATTAAAGGATAAAATCAGAATTCTGCATTAGTAAAACATATGGAAAAACATAAACAAAGTTGAATCTTTAAAAAAATCATGTTTAAGACTATAAAACAAATATCTGAAACCACGAAAAGGAAGAGTTTTTAGGAATCATACTGTTATTATTAATCTGTCACAAAATGCTTGATGTTTATAACTTTTTATAAAAGTTACAAGGCAAAATGAAGTGAAAGAATAATAAAAAAAAAAGTGAACTTACATCAAAGGTATACTTTGGCTGCCACTTCAAGTTGGTCTTCGCCTTGGTACAGTCTCCCTGTAGGAATTCCTATAACACAGTAAATACATTATCCACTGCTGGTAATAGGCCTGTGACATTTACATGTAGGGTATACAATGTCCGAGACATTTATATGTAGGGTATACAATGCCTGTGACTTTTACATGTAGGGTATACAATACCTGTGACATTTACATGTAGGGTATGGCCTGTGACATTTACATGTAGGGTATTTACATGTAGGGTATGGGCTGTGACATTTACATGTAGGGTATGGGCTGTGACATTTACGTGTAGGGTATGGCCTGTGACATTTACATGTAGGTTATACAATGCCTGTGATATTTACATGTAGGGTATACAATGCCTTTGACATTTACATGTAGGGTATACAAAGCCTGTGACATTTACATGTAGGGTATACAATGCCAATGACATTTACATGCAGGATATACAATGCCTGTGACATTTACATATAGGGTATGGCCTGTGACATTTACATGTAGGGTATACAATGCCTGTGACATTTTCATGTAGGGTATACAATGCCTGTGACATTTACATGCAGGATATACAAAGCCTGTGACATTTACATATAGGGTATGGCCTGTGACATTTACATGTAGGGTATACAATGCCTGTGACATTTACATGTAGGATATACAATTCCTGTGACATTTACATGTAGGATATACAATGCCTGTGACATTTACATGTAGGGTATACAATGCCTGTGACATTTACATGTAGGTTATACAATGCCTGTGATATTTACGTGTAGGATATACAATGCCTGTGATATTTACATGTAGGGTATACAATGTGTATTACTAGAAGACATGACATCACAGAACAAATAATTTTGAAGCATGCTGTCTGCATCACAGGGACACAATTTCGTTAGAATATCAAAACTATCAACAAAGCAGAGTATTGCAAGCAACCCTTCAACCAAGGGCCATAACTCCATATAAATTGGAGCATGACTCAAAACTTCAGTATGGGACACTGCTACCAGATGTTCTTGCAAACAAAACTGGGTTATTATAAAATATGTTTATGTAATAGGCTCCTGTCAACATGACACACTTTGAACAAAGGGCAATAAATCAGTATCATTACAATGTGTTATGGGACCTGATTGAGGTATGCAACACTCTGCCTTCAAAAGAGGTATTCTGATGCAAAATATCCAATTATTAGTCACACAGTGTGAGATATGCTCCAGAGAAAGTGACATGAATTGAACAAACGGCCATAACCCTATGTAGTGGGTAAGTTTGATTGTAGTAAGCTACACTCCGCCACCCTTAGAGGTACTTACAGCCAAAAATTGTCAATTTTAGGTGAAAGATTATATCAAAAAAGCTCCCGACAAAGTGATGTCTGGACAGACAGAAATCACACCTCTAGTCCCCCTCTGATAGTACTGATGAGGGACCGACAAAGACATTGTCTTTAATTTTGTGCAAGTGATTATTATCAAATTATCAAGTTCTTTGGAATGAGTAGTTATTGGTAGAATTATCATAACCCCCCATAAATAATGAAACATGATATGTTATCAGAAACAGGAACTTTTAGCGGTATTTGTGAAATGAATAATACAGGTACAAATATGTGTGGTACTTTCATTTTTGGCAGTGTTTTATATGTTTATGATGCCAACATGACATAAAAAGTACATGTACAAATACCATTACCTCAATTTTCCCTAGTTACTCTGCTCTCCCTTGATGTAGGCACATTAATGGAAATGTGGATTTGGACATGTTAATTCAACCTTCATCAAAACCCACTTAACTTGTTACTTGAGATACCGAGATGCTTTGCTAACAGGACAGCTATTTATTGGTAGAGACACTGATATTGTTTTCTATCAAAACTCTAAAACACTAGAAAGTCATGTCTTCTGCTAAGTGTTACTGTGTTGCCATGGTGATGTGGACGTGAGCTTCCTGTAATGTTGTTTGTTCTCACAACAGCAGTAATGGCCACTCCAGACAGTTACGCTGCTGCAATAATGGCGACTTTGCCAGACCTGGTGATGAGAAGCATGTTAATAGCACAGTACGTTCACACCATTACCCAGAATGTCTGTATTCATTCTCAATTGCACCACAGGGTCAAGGTCAACTTTATTCCCATTGTCATTGAAGGATCAAGGTTAATTTTCTTCTCGCTGTCAAGGTCAACCTCGTTTTCACTGTCAATGTAGGGTCTAGGTAAATCTCATTAACACAATGCATGATCAAGGTCAATCTCGTTAACACAATCAATGCAAGATCAAGGTCAATCTCGTTAACACAATCAATGCAAGATTAACGTTAACCTCGTTAACACATTCAATGCAAGATTAAGGTCAACCTCTTTAACACAATCAATGCAAGATTAAGGTCAACCTCGTTAACACAATCAATGCAAGATTAAGGTCAACCTCGTTAATACAATCAATGCAAGAGTAAGGTCAACCTCGTTAACACAATCAATCTAAGATAAAGGTCAACCTCCTTAACACAATCAATGCAAGATCAAGGTCAACTTCGTTAACACAATCAATATAGGGTCAAGGTCAACCTCAATAACACAATCAATGCAAGATTAAGGTCAACCTCGTTAACACAATCAATGCAAGATTAAGGTATACCTCGTTAACACAATCAATGCAAGATTAAGGTCAACCTCGTTAACACTATCAATGCAAGATTAAGGTCAACCTCGTTAACACAATCAATGCAAGATTAAGGTCAACCTCGTTGACACAATCAATGCAAGATCAAGGTCAACTTCGTTAACACAATCAATATAGGGTCAAAGTCAATCTCGTTAACACAATCAATATAGGGTCAAGGTCAACCTCAATAACACAATCAATGCAAGATCAAAGTCAACCTCATTACACAATTAATGCATAATCAAGGTCAATCTCGTTAACACAATGCAAGATCAAGGTCAATCTCATTAACACAATGCGTGATCCAGGTCAATCTCGTTAACACAATCAGTGCAAGATCGAGGTCAACCTTGTTAACACAATCAATGCAACATCAAAGTCAACCTCGTTAACACAATCAATATAGGGTCAAGGTCAACCTCATTAACACAATCAATATAGGGACAAGGTCGACATCACTGACACCATCAATATAGGGTCAAGGTCAACCTCATTAACACTATCAATATAGGGTCAAGGTCAACCTCATTAATACAATCAATATAGGGTCAAGGTCAACCTCATTAATACACTCAATATAGGGTCAAGGTCAACCTCACTAACACCATCAATATAGGGTCAAGCTCAACCTCACTAACACCATCAATATAGGGTCAAGGTCAACCAGTGTTGTCAAGCATGAATAGTTTTATGAGAAACTTATTCTTTTTTTAAATCTATCAGAAGATTAACCCTCAACCCTGAGTCACGTCCTGTAATGGATATCATTTTGAATCTTGAAACAACACTTCTTTGCTATCAGTTCTTAAAATCAATTTCCAAGAGTCATGCAGCCGTATTGGACACCTTTATAGTGTATGTAATTCAGTCCTTCATCCTCATGCAACATCATCTATGGCCACGTACATGCACCTGTACCTTGGGTCAATTATTTTTATTACATGTTTACCATGGGAAGACATTTAATAACTGTTCAATTTTACTGAAGACTTATATAGGACTGGAGTTTTGCTATTTGTTCACATTTTTTGTTTTCTGAAATAAGACCTTTTTACATCAATCTGTTTTCTATATGGAATTAATATATATTGAATTTTTGCATCATAAACATGAATTTTCCAAACTATGTACATTCTGTAGTAGGTTTAACATTCACTTTACAACTATTTCTGGCGTGTGTATAAGAGAAACATTTCCATGTGTCTGAGATTTGATTTCCTATCGATTTGTTCAGCTTATCAATATTTACAGCAATGGTACAATGTTATCATTTTCAAATATTTCAGAAATTAACATATTTTAAAAGACAGATATATGTATTTGTCAGTTTGTTGTATGTTAAAATGAGAATTTCAGATCCCTAAAAGACAGCAAAATTAGCTGTCGCTAGCCCTGGATATACCGAAACCTGCTACACTCAAATAATTTATACAGTCCCCCTTGCTGTCAGTAAAGTCAGGTTTTTACCCGACAAATACTGGTTTGATTTTGCTGTACTGTTCTACGATTCCAGTCTGAGCACCAGTTTTACAGGTAAAATCCTGGGCCTGCTCCTCCCAGATGTTTGGCATTATCTCCATCAGCTGGAATCCCAACATACCAAAAGCATACAGTTTCACTTGGCAAACATTTCTCGTCTCTCTACCCTGTACTATCAATTTTCACACAATTAGCTGCTAATTCTGCATGACTGGACTTTCCTAGTGGCATTCAGTAATGCACAGGAGATGTATGAAATGTGATTCACATGTTCTGAATAATTTTGTAAATCCACAGACAGCTCAATTAGCTTCGTTTGGCTGTGGCCATCTTAACTCTGGGAACTAATGAAGGATCACTTTCTCCAGCACAGCATTTCAATGACCAGATTTTCATGTACAGATTTTCATGTACAGAGTTTCAATTCAATGAACCAAAACGGTTTTATTTTGCAGTTTGAAACTGAAGGATTTTACAAATTGTCTTCAGTCAGTTATTTTCTGATTGAGATATACCTATTCATTTTATCTATTTTGATATCTTTATATAATATTTTAAAGACAACAGTACTGGAGCAAGTTTACAATCATGAAAATACTTTAAAATGCTTTGCTGGTATCTAAATTAGAATTAAGTCTTCATTAGTTAATTGTTCCCATTAATTTACTTATCACTCTTATACATGTTTCATTAATTTGCCACGAAAATAACATAAATATCACAGATGAACCACGCACTATCTGAAAGGTCACTATCTATCTCCAATACTAGAGACCTCAAACAGAATTCCTGACTTAATATTAATATTTAAACAGACAAGGGGAGGTAACTTGCATTAATGATTAAAACTAAATGTGAAAAATACTGCCTCCATATGACAGGGTAACTAATTAAG